TGAAGAATAGTTTTCAATTTTGTATTATGACGTTTCCAAAAGCAGATACAATCGCATCTACAAAATGTGTTACTGTACACAACCATAAATCGTTTTTCGTCACCGTGCATGATCTGAAAAAAAATTGTTATATTAATGAATTTATCAAACAAATTAATCAAAACTGATTCCATACGCTGAACCTGATCCTGTATCAATGTCGGTGCCCACGATTTTTTATGTATGAAATTCATATTTTTTAAGTCGATGGTTACGCATTCGTGAACCTTTCTTCAAAAAAATCCGGTTTTCTATTTGTTGTTAACAATTGAATTGTTTAACGGTGCAAATCACGTAAACGGGTGTAGATAGAGAAATAATTTCAAACAAAAGATGTTTGACATATAAAAATAAACATATTTTGGAATTTTTTCTTACAGCCTGCCGTTCATGAGATATTAACGTCATGTCATAGAGATATGACAGAAAGACACAACACCAAATTTATCTATTTTTTATAGAAGGAAAATTGCTCGTACAAAAAAATTTTCCGTATCTTGAACTGCTTACTTATCAAATTCTGTTCCACCATGGAGCACAAGGACGTTAATATCTCGTTAACCGCTAGCTATGGGAAAAAATTTCAGTATGCCAATTATGTGTAACATTTGATGAGAAACATTTTTTATTTCAATTATTTTTGACTTGGTTGGCTTCTAATAGGAGATAATGTTAAAATACATTTTTTGTTGGAAAATGAGCTACAAAAAAGGTCTAGTAGCATTTTTTCTTAAAATCACTCCTTACTAAGATAATCTGAGTTTCAAAAAGATATGAAAAATGGACTTACCTCGTTTTACCATTTCACTACAGAATTAGATTTTTTTTCTATATATTCTATTGAAATATCTTCTATACATTATTTCGGCTGAAATTGTCCAAGCTTTCTCGTTTGATTGTCTTAATTAGGAAAAAAAGAAGAATAGAATGAAAAAAGAGACAAGTTTAGTCGTCGAAATTCTATGGGAGATGTTTTAAGAGAAACTATATAGGGGAGGGTGGGGCAAAGTGGAACGGTGGGGCAAAATGGAACGGGGGGGCAAAGTGGAACGCGGGGCAAAATGGAACGCGGGGCAAAGTGGAACGCGGAGCAAAGTGGAACACGGGGCAAAGTGGAACGGTAGGGAATTTTGGTTTCCAAGAACTAGAGGACCGTTCTACATATTTAACTAATTCAAAGAA